TCCTTCATAGTGATTAGAGTTCAATTTTTAATTGCATAAAGTATTTTTGACTCAAATGTGGAAGAAAATCAAACAGTAGATTTCTTAAGTCTTGTCTCTGAGTGAGTTTTAAAAATGAGATCTTTGTTTTGGCTTTTGGAGTAATTACTACTTCTTCTCCAAATGGCGTTTCAGATCTCTTCACTTCAGCTACCAATTTAAGTTCATTTGGTTTAGTTTGAGAGCTGATATGATTTTCTCACTAAAACATCTGAATCATCCACAGTTCTGGTTCCTGTTCAGGTACAACCAGATGCTTAAAAATGCCACATTCATGTATTCACAGCTTCTGTTCCTCAGAGATTCAACTAAATTCAATGTATTGATATAGTGCCAATTCACAACCAATGTCTTCTCAAGGCACTTTACAAAAAATAATTTTATTTCAATCATTGATACATTTGAATTGATCCCAGTTAATTATTCAAAGTTTAAAAAGTTTCTAAGGAAACCCAGCAGATTACGTTGACTCAGTGACTTTCAGTATTTATTCCTGCTGGACGAGCGTGTTGCAACAATCGCTTGTATTGTCATTGACTTTACAGCAATGCCTCATACCGAGCATTTATGAGGTGACGGTGGAGAGGAAAATGAAAAACTCCTCTTTAATAGGAAGAAATCTGAAGCAGAACCAGAACCAGGCTCAGTACAAGCAGTCGCCTGCCACGAGAACCTTAAACTCTATTCTGGATTTAACAGGGAGTCAATGAAGTGAAGCTAAGGCAGAAAAATATGATCTATCTTTTTAATTTTCATCAGATTTGATCAATATCAGGACTGGTGTAGTCCAATCACCACTGGAAACGAGTCTTACTTGCTTGCTTTGATTATATTCCTCATAGAACCTCATGTTCCTGCAACACCCACCATAAAAACCTTAAGGGTCACAGTCAAAAGCTTTCTCCACATCCACACATGTAGACCAGTTGAACCATGATCCGCTCAACATTCCCAAAGCCACGCTGCTCCTTCTGGGTCTGAGGTTTGACAGCTGGAGTCAGTTTTTTCAGTGTGCTCAGTCTTCACATCATTTGAGATGAATATCAGCACACAAGGCATCTCCCATCTTCAAAACTGCTGTCACTCATCTATCTGTGTCTGTCTATCATGTAGAACATTGCCTGTCAAAATGTCCAAAAACATAGTGTGGAAGTGTGCAGAGATATCAGTGTGTTTTAGGATCTATCAAATTCCTGGTGGCAGTGCAAACAGCAGGTGTTTGTTTCAGGTTGTCCATGGATACTAACTGGATGGGTTTGGGGATCTGACATGTTTTGGGTTTTCTGTTTTAATTTCCAGGTGGTTTCCAGTAGTGAAATCCAAAACAGAAATAATAATAATAATAATAATAATAATAATAATAATAATAATAATAATAATTATTATTATTATTATTATTATTAT